TTGGTTTATTGTCTATGGTTCCTTTCAGCACAATATAGTTTCTTTGTTTATCCCCTTTTATTTTTAAATGTTTGTTTTTGCTTTTTCTGATAGCACGATGACAACTCTTGCTTTTTTGGAGTCACCTGATGCATAGTAAATTTCTTTCCAACCTCCTCAGTTTTATTTTGGGTATGTCTTTATTTTTTTAAATGTGTTTTTTGTAAGCAACATGTTGAAGAGTTTTGTTTTCTTATACAATGTCATTTTTGGGGGTTTGTTTTATTGGATTGTTTAATCCATTCACATTTAAAGTTATGAGTTAGGTTAATATTTTCCTCCATCTGTCTGATAGCACGATTAAAACTCTTACTTTTTTTGGAATCACTGATACATAGTAGATTTTGTTTTGGGCCTGTCACTTTCATTTTGCATGTCTTTATTTTTAGATGCTTTTTATTTATGGGTTTTGCGTGTCTGTGTTTTAAATCTTTTTGCCACTCTCATATTACAAATTGTTTAATCCATGCTCATTTGAAATTATGATTATCAGGTTTGTATTTTATTAATTTTTTAAAAAATTACTCCCTTCCTTTAAGATATTCCCTTAAAGGAAGGAAATAAAGGAAGGGGAAAATTCAGATACTTGTGTTTGCACTTAGATGTTTATTCCCACAAGGCTGACGTGACCAAAGCTGAGTTAAGGCCCTTATCATTTCACTTCTAGATGATTACAATAGCCGCCAAATTTATCTGCTGGCCTCCAGTCTCTCCCTATTCCAAACCATGTTCCATATAGCTACCAAAGTGATTTTTACAATGCCGAGGTCTGACCATATCACTGTCCTACTCAATAAATTCCAGAGTCTCCCTATTGCTTTTAAGATCATGCATAAATTAGGTTGGCTTTTAAAGTCCTTCATAATCTGACTCCAAAGTTCCTTTCCAAACTGTTAGACATCACTCCCTTTCTTGCACTCTGCTTTCTAGCCTGACTGACCTGTTTGCTGTCATTGACTCCCAAAACCTACCCACAAATGAACCGACTACCCCCTATTATTCTAGTGCATTCCCTCCTTATCTCTGCTCTTAGAATCACTTGTGCAGGCTTAGCTCAAATGCCACATTTTGCAGAAGAACCACTTTCCTGGTTTCCTCAGCTGCTGGTGGTCTCACCCTAAACAATTAGTATTTATTTTATATACATTTACATATGTTTATGGACATGCATGTTGTATTCTCTGACAGAATAGAAGGTCTTTGACAGCAAGCATTGTTTTCATTTTTATCCTTGTATCCCCAGAATGTGGCACAATTCCTGACAAAAAGCAGGCATTTAATAAGGCATTAATTAAGAGCATATAACGAAATTTGTATAGTATGCTCTGCTCATTTTTCTTTCTTTCTGTAATTTTACCTTGCTCATTTTTCATTTTGGTGATTTGGTTTTCCTTCCTCTTTTAAAAAAAATCACGTTTGCTAAATGTTTGTTGATTTTGTCGGTCTTTTTAAAGAGCCAGCGGTTCATTTTCTTTGTCATTTTATATAGTCTTTTTGTCTTCTATCTTATCTTTATCTCCTCTCATTTTCAAGATTTCTCCTTTGGGCTTTGCTTTGGTTTTACCTGATTTTCTAGTTTTAAAAACGCATACAGGCAACTATGATGTAATGGGTAGAGAGGTGATCATGGTGTCAGTGAAATCTGGATTCAAATATCACCTCAGACAACTGGCTGTGACACCAGGTGTGACAGCACTTAACTTCTCAGAGCTCTCAGCAAGTCTCTAAGACTATAGGTGCTGACCTGCATTCATTGAGGAAGTTTCCTAATTCTAATACTCCCCATATCAATCACAGGCCTATTCTCTATCCCTATCCTAAATTTCAAATTCAAGTCCATCAATCCCCATTTTTCTATTTTTTCAATTTATGTTTTCTGAGATAAAATCATTTCCCTTGAGGACTTTATTAGATGCATCCTGCAAATTCTGGCATTTTGACTCATCGTTATCATTCTCCTTCACACAAATATTGTTTCTATGATTTGTTTGCTGACCCACTCATTATTCAGGATGCCATTATTGTCTCTATTTATATCTATATCTTTTGTGTGTATTCCCAGTTTTATTATTTTTGTTGTGTTTTGGTCTGTAAGGTATCACACGTTGCTGGGAAATGTGTCTTCTTTAATATTCCCATCCAGAAGGTAACATGGGTCTTTCAGATTTAAGATCTCCAAAGGGTTGTCCGGTTTTATATTTTTCTTTTTCTTTGTCTTTTTGTTAGACTTATCCAGCCCTGGGAGAAACATCCAAATCTTTGGTTACTACCAAAATTCAAATTTTTGGTTATTATCTTTGTCCTTTGGCAATTCACTGAATTTTCCCTTTATCAATTTAGATTCTATGCATTTTGGTGAACATGGTTCGTGTTAATATTGGTTTCCTTAAGCATAATGTAGTTTTCCTGTTTACCATTCTTGATACTCCCAAATACTCATCTTGATTCAGTAGCAGCCTTCAGTAATACAGAGTGCAGCCCAACTATGCCTGCTGATGCTGTCTAACTCCCATTAAAAAAATCTGTAGGGGCAGCTAGGTGGTGCAGTAGATAGAGCTCTAGCCTTGGAGTCAGAAGGACCTGAGTTCAAATCTGGCCTCAGACACTTGACACTGACTAGCTGTGTGATCCTGGGCAAGTCACTTAACCCTGACTGCCTCACCAAAAAAAAAAAAAAATTTGTAACACGAGTTCAACCAACATGCTGGAGGTCTTATATGTTCTGTCCTGACATGGTGAGGGTACCAGTGGAGCTCTCTGGTTCTCCAATTCCTTGATGACATGTTCTACTTCTACTTTCTTTGTACTTCCTTGGTGGTTCTAAGTTGCACCCTGTTCATGCCCACCATATACCCTTCCATTGGCTTTCTCTTGATGTTGTTAATTTTTATTTAAAAAAAATATTTCTACTTGTCTGAGAGCATGATTGCAATTCCTACTTTTCTGGAATCATAGTAGATTTTGTTCTATTCTATCACTTTTATGTTGTATGTCTTTATTTTTAGATGTTTCTTATTTACAGATTTTTTAAAAATCCATTTTTACCACATTATATTGTAAATCATTTAATCCATGCACATTTAAAGTTATGTTTATCAGACTTGTATTCTTTTATTTACTTAAAAAAAAAAAAGATTCCTTTCCTCTTTTAAGAGAGTATTTTGTCCCTGCAAAGAGTTTTGCTTACACTTTGATATTTATTCCCACAAGGCCCCCTTTCCATGCCCTCATTTGTTGGCTTTATATAAAATCCTTTAAATTGCTTACTACATTGTTAATTCTTGTTTTAAAAAAAATTATCTCCTCTTGTTTGATGCTTTTCTTTCCCCATTCAGTTTTGTGGCTCAAAATCTGCCAACTCCAAAACCTATTGTGTTAAGTAGCTTTCTTTTGCTGCATCCTTCCCCTCATCCCCCACCAAAAAACAAAACAAAACTTTCTTTTGCTTTATCCTCATTATCTCTCTTCCCTTCTAGTCTAGTCTGAGTTGTATTATCTAATTTATAGGCTACACACCCTTACATATTCCTACTTAACTCTGTCCCTTTTGGGAATAAATGTTAAGCACCAAATTGGAACTTTCTCTTCTATGCCATGTCTACATACTGCTTTTGTAGCTCTTCCCCAATCTTCCCTGTATTCTGCCATCCCTCACCCTTAAAAATAACAATTTATAAAAGAAGGCCCCTTGGAGGAACCTTTGTGTTCTTGCTCTCTCCTTCTCCCAGTGAGGCCCAGATTCTATTCAAGATTACCTAGAAAACGGTGGGAAAATGTGCTACCACCAAGGCACCCTTTCCCTCTTGCTTTTCCCCTTCCTGAGAGCCATCTGACTGCTCATAGAGCTTGAATGAGAAGAGTCAACAACCATTTCTTCGGATGTGCTGGAGGATCTTCACTTTCCCCGCCTCTAGGCCCTGAAGACCCCAAGCACTGCCATTTGGCTTATTTATGGACCTTAAGAGCTCCTTGGTCTTCACAGCTGAATTTTCTTTTGGTATTATCTTCCTCAATTAGAGTGTAAGCTCCTTGAGAACAGGAAGTCTTGATTTTTCTATTAGTAGCCCTAGAGTTTAGCACAGTGCTTCATTCATTCACCAAATGGAAGCAGTAGCCTACAGTGGGAATCACTCTGGGTCCTAAGTTATGATGCCTGGTGCTACCTCTCCCTGTCTTTATCATGATCAGAGCCCACCTGTAAGGGTGTATTATTATCTTACCTCTGCTTCTATGTTCTATCTCTACACCCACCCTCCCCCTACTTGGGAACTCAGAGGTCCCTTCTCCTGATGTAAGATGTAGTACTGGGGAGGGTGGGGGAGGGGCGGGGCAGTCTTTTCTTGAAGAAGACGATCTTCTAATGTGCAGGTACCTCCCAAGAGAAAATGCCTCATAAGGCCCTATCCGTCATAGCCATACACTTCCTTCCCCAGGTTCCCTTCTCCTTTCCCCTTTGGGACAAGCTCCCACTCCCCAGTTTGAAACTCTCTCATTTACTGCTTTTATGCTATTCTCCCACAGCCCCCACGTTTAGTGGGAGATTCTATATATTCTTCCCACATAGTGGTAGACTCAGTATCTGCTCCCTGTTGTGCAGTGGGAAGGGGGAGTGTCTGGCTGTGTCAACTGACATGAGGGAACAGGGCAGGAATCCTCACGGCCAGACCCTGAATGACAAGGCTGCAAGGTTGCTTGTGTTCACCATATCCAGCAGTGGACTGAGGGGTGAGGATGCTGAGGAGAGCCTTTGGGCACTTGAATTATCTAGTGGTAATTTCATGTTTTTACCTGATGTGATTCCGACTTTTAATCTGGGGGGTGGGGTTCAGCTTTAGTCACACTGTATTTGGTGCATGGTTTCATTCCATGAAGTTTGTGGGTTTGCAAGAAAACAATTACTCGGTCATCTTGCTGCCCCCTAAAGAAAACTTCTAAAACCTGAATCAGACATATCCAAAACATAAAGTTCCACTGGAAAGTCAACCTTTATTTAAAAAATAAACTTTACAAACAAAAGGAAAAAAGTAATTCTTGGTACAGAAAAGGTTGTATTAGTTGCTGGCGATTCCATCAGCTTTTAAAGGGTGAGGAAGACGGTGACAATGGACCATTGCATATGATCAAAACGAACTGTACAATGTGATGGAAGTAGGTTCAGCACAAAAGTTCCTTGGTGCAGCTCATGTCTCTTTCATCTCTTGGTCTGCAGATGTGCGTGTGTGTTTCCTGGTCTCTTAACCTGACCATACTTTAGACTAAAATAAGTTCGTTGTACTTGTTACAATTTTGTTTTTCATGTTCTTCATTTTAAAAGCCAATGAGAGTGACTTTTCACATTTCTTTAAAACATCATTAAAATTAGTCACACTGTTCAGGCTGCTTCGTGTGCTGTTTTCAATGACGGCTGGAACCAGCCCTTTCTAAGATCTTCCACTGGAGGATCTCAAAGCACATTAACAATAGTACCCTATTTTCTGAACATTTCTGTGAGGTAGATAGAATTATACAGGAGGTACACTAAAAAACCAAGTTGAGCCATTTGGCAGGATTATACACAGTTTAAAAAAAACCCCAAGGGCACTTTCTTTTCCCCAACTACTTTCTAAATGACTGCATTTGTCCTGACAAAGGAGAGGTGCCTCCAGTAGATTGTCCCTTATTTTGGGCCTTCGATAACTAAGAGAGGATGGTGAAAATGAACAGACAAGAAATGACTAGACCACAAAAGGGTATGTTAGCTTAGTTTTCAAATACTGTACAATACCATAACTACCTTTGAAGCAAAAATCTAATTTCAGGTACAAAAAAAATCTTCCAGTTAACAGTCTGAATGCCAATGCACATGTTTCCATTCAAATTTTTACTTTTGTAACTCTTTCAAGAGGTAGGGTAAATATCAACTCCACATATAATTTACAAGTTTTCATCACAGGATGCCTGTGTCCTTATTCGGTCATTACAAAACCTGCTCAGTTATTTTTTTTCCCCCTTTAAAAAGTCATTATGATTTCCCAACTTAAGGGGGAGATAGCTTCATTATTTATTGCTTTCTCTGACCCACACTCCATCCTTACCCTACAAGTGGGTGAGTAATGTTCAACACAATTGGTTAGTAATGATATGTACCATTTTAATCAAGGTTCAACTACAGTTTTTTAGCTGATAATCAAACCTGAACAAGTGTTTGCTGAGTATCCATAATGTACAAGATACACCCCCTCAAGGAAGTTCAGATCTATGTTGTTCATTTAGGTTCAATGGTAATTTAAAAAAACACAACTAAACTCAAGTAAATCTCCAAGGGCCCTGCTAGGATTGACCATTCATTTATTTACTGTGAGTAGCTGGGTTGTCCTTGGGTGACTCCCTCAGCACCTTCTTCCATACCACTGTAGAAGTTAATAACACTGTCTGGCAGTTAAGGTTGATCCTTTCCTCCAGGGCTTACTCAGCATTTTAAATTTTCCCTGGAACTAGTTTTCTCCTGAATGAGGAAATATTAGACAGACAGATAGATAGATAGATAGATAGACAGACAGACAGATACATAGATAGACAGATATATATATATATAGAGACAGATAGATAGATAGATAGACAGATTGTCAATAGAGTAGAAATAGATTGCAGTTTTAAAAGTTAGTTCCCAATTGTTAGCAAACAACCAGATTTCATACTACTGTGCTACAAGGTGACATGGCTGAATATACAATTTGTTCAATAGCCTACTTTCTGAAAAACAGATTAGCTTCATTCTCATCCCAGAGTACAATGGATAAAAACCACTGTGTTTGGCAGGTCTCAGACCTCATCCTAACACATAAAAGCAACACTTTACATTTTCTCTGGGTAGAAAATGATTTAAGAATGCCTTCTTAGATGCTATTCTCTTAACATAACATCTTTAAAAATGCAAACCTTAATTACAGCATTTTTTAACTGGAAAATCAAGAAATTCCACTTTACCACTTACTTTCTGGTTATTTGCCGTATTATTACCAAAGTGAACAAATAAATATTGACTCAAATTAGAAAGCCATTTCTTTTGCTACAACTCTACTTCTTTGCCTGGCAGTGGTATGAAGATAAGCTTGGGTTTCTGTGCTAAGGAAACACAAACTCTGTCAGGTTCTACCCAGTTGGGAAGGATGTGAGCACAGACCTGGGATCTGCAGGCCTGGCTGTATGTAGACAGGCTTATTTCCACAAGGCTGGATATTAGGCAACGTAGCTTTTCAGCTGCACAAATTCATGAAGAGCCACGTCTGACTGGAGGTGGAGAAGAGCTGGGAAAAGGGAGAAGACTCATTCGGAAGCTGAAACTGCAGGTCCCTGAAGCATTAATGACATCAAGGCTAACATTTAAAAGGACAGATAATGATTTGCCTATGGGTTCACTGTGGTTTCCTATGCATATTTCCAGTCCTTATAAGCTGCACATATGTGCATTTATTCTGATGTAATCTAATTGTCACTAGCCTCAGGTTTATGTATCTCACATACTGTTGTGTTTTTTTTTTTTTTTTGATTGCAAGGAACCAGCATCCTGTGTGACTTTTCTTGTTTTATAAGCGTGAATGTACCTAGGATACAAGGCTATGTCTCAGTGGGGAAGCAAGATGTAAGTGAGCTGGTGTCTGGAGGGACTGTGTAACTGTGGTGTGTACCCTGAGATCTGTCCACCTTTTTCCACATGGCTTTGTAAAATTCTTCATATGACATTCAAGTTGTCACCCTCTAAACAGGAAATGTGAGAGGTTTGGATAACTCACTATCCATTGGAGGAGAAAGACTGAAAAGGAACCAGGGGCTAGGCTTTGATCTAAAACTGAAGAAAGTCTCCTTTCATCACTGGCATGGGAGCAGTAGAAATAACCAGGAGCAAACAAGAGGGGCCTTTGTTTGAGGGTGACCTTGGTTTTTCAGCTCTGAATGTGTGTGTGTGTGTGTGTGTAAGTGTGTGTGTGCGCGCGTGCGTGTACTGTACATACATGGCTGTGTACATGTATGTGTGAGGACACAGATTCATTATAGTAACATTTGAACATTGCTAAATAATCACACAAAAAAACCTGTTTCATACCAAAGGAGTTTTTTCACTTGCAAAAATCGTCACAAGAATTATGAATTTTTCCTCCACTCTATGCTATTTATCTTGGTATAGGAATCATTTTTGAAAACTGACAAAATAAATTACACATAAGGTGATTTTGAAAGACTGAAAATAAGGAATGATTCTGAGAAGAACTGACTGGTTTTCAGCCTGACTGTTCATACCTTTGCTTTGAAAGTGTCTGAAGAAAGTAGCAAGCTACAAAGAAAATCCAACAGTTCTTTGTATAACATGCCAAAGAGTTGCTAGTATATTATTGAAATAAACAGGTATCCTTTGCCAACTGTTTTTAAAAACAGATTATTAGATTCAAGATTCTGTTGCAGCATTCTTTTGTATGAATGCGTACTTATACACACAAACCTGGGTGACCATTTGGAACAACTTGATGTGTTATATCAAACAACTTGTTTGACTAAGGAAATGAAAAGGTTGGGTTTTTTTTTTTTTTAAATTGACTTAGGGTCAAGTTGTTTATGTCAATGTGATTTATGCATATGAATATAATTTCTATTATATTAATTTAAAAAACAACATAAATGATAAAACAAGTCATTTGACACAAATAGATTTCTAGAGAACTAAAAGTGCTTTGTTAAGAGCCTGTCTTAATTCTGTTTTTAAAAAACTAAGAGACTATATTTAAACTTATTTATCCCCCTATCCCCCAGTGCATTTTTCCAAGCCCTGTTCTGGGTTCTGAATATAGTCTTTTAAAAAATAGCTATTAATTAGTCTGTATTTTCTAATGCCATCAAAATGTAGCCTGAGATACAGAAAAGGAAATTTTTCCAAAGTTGTTTCACAACTAACTTATTTTATGTATGCAAGGTTTTTTTTTGGGGGGGGTATATGTGTGTGTGTGGTAAACAACACAAAATTATCATCATCATATTGTTGTAGCCTTATTTAGTACTCTTAAGGATCCACAATGACTCTAGACTCTCAAGTAAAAAAAAAATTAAAGAGAAGAATTTCTGATTAAAAAACCAAGTTTTGATAAATAAGGGAAACAATAAGATGAGACTCACATGCAAAGGCTCCAGTGAAAACTGCCAAGAGGCTGTGAAAACCCAGAGCCTGTGTATTGGGCACCGATGGGCTGGTAAACATCTACAAAACTGGCCTTATAGAAACGACCCCCAGCAGATATGACAACAGGAAGCAAGAGAGACAAAAAGGAAGACAATCTGTGAGCCAAGGGAGAGAGCAGCAGCTGGGGGAAGGGATGGGGCACACAAGGGGCAGCCACGGGGACAGCAGGCTGGGGACAGGCAGCAGAGAAAAGATTCAGTAACTGAGAAATGAGGGCACCTCAGTAGCCCGAGGCGGTTGGGTGCAGAGAAGATGTCTGTCTGTATTTCAGTATAACATGACCCGAAAAAGACAGAGAACGTGAGTGAGGACGTGTGCCAAGAGAAGACTCAAGTGCACCTTCCCAGGGGTTCATGGTCTGCCACCAACCAGGCCTGCTGTTTAGCAGAGTGGGGAAGTCACTCCCTGCGTGTGTGTGTGTGTGTGTGTGTGTGTGTGTGTGTGTGTGTCTGTGACAGGGAGAGAAGCAATGAGGTGAGTTCATACCAACTCCATCTGCTTCTATTCCTATACCTAGAGCAAAACACAACATCTGAAGGTCAGGAAATATTTTAGAAAGATTTCCATCGTCAACTAGAAAAAGCTGTAGTGGAAACTCTCATCTAGCTAAAAAAAAAATCATCTGGAATGGATCATTCTCTGGAAATTCTGGATAACAGAAGCTTCACTGTACCTCACAAAAGCAATACTAACCAAATAAAGGTCTCGTTTATAAACACAAAGCAGAGCATCTTGAATTAAGAGAGTGATGTAGAATTACCAGAAGTGAAAGGAAAAACAACAAACAGCAATGTAATTCAAGTCTCTTGTACCCCCATTCTGGGCTACCAGACAGCCACTATTTCTGTGGAAACTGAGGGGTTTGTCCTAGTCAGTTACTTAGGTGAAGATGAGGAGACTCTGCCTCAGTTATCCGGGATCCCCAGTGCTGTTCCCTCATCCTGACTTAGAGGATCAGCCAGGGTGCTCTAAGAAGTGGCATGGTCATCATCAGTGAGGATGGCTCTCCACTCCACTACCAGCCTGTGCCCCAGCAAAGCTGCACCCCCAGCTCTGCTGGCCCTTAGCCCTTCTCCATACAGCCTTGGCAGAATTCCATGAATTCATACAACCAAGTAAAATAACACCTTAGAAAATAAACATGGAGGAACCACCAGAGAATGAATGATACCTTCTCCCTCCCTCCACCTAATTACATGGTATGCTATGTGCGCTACAGAGACAGATTTCTAAAATGTAAATTGTTTTCCAAAATAGAATAAAACAGTATCACATAAATTCTCTTTAAAAGTCTTTCCAACTAAATTCAGTTCTTAAAATCAACTTACACAAATATTGTGCAAAAACAAACACTGACTTCAAATAAATAACACAAGAAAATAAAATGACTTTTTTTAAAGAGTAAGAACCCCCCCCCCCCCAGCTATTTTTCAAAATGTTAACACAATGAAAAATATGAAGAACTTGGTTGGCAACCTGTTTGCGGAGTCCCACTGAAAGCTGCCCTCTCAGGTTACACTGCGAGATTCCTTTTTGTCATCTTCTTTAAAATTCGCAATGTATTCCTCCGCTCAGGTCTTTCACAGTTCCTTCTTTCACGAGCTTTTGCAGAAATCTGGTTTCTGTTGTCAGGTTGTGCATTGTTTGTTTATTCATTGCTGCCATGCAGAGGTTGTCGAAGTAGTGTAACGGGGTTTCGGGCTGGTTGAGGTCATATCCAAACCCTGCCAAACTGACTTCATCACACAGATGGGTGGCCAGGACAACAGCAACGATGCCCATGGTGGGTACATTCTGAAAGGGGAAAGAAAAGAGATTTTTTTTAAAAAAGATAGCCTGATTCACTAACTATTTTCTGGTGAGCACCCTATCTTGGATGAATAACTCTCATTTATTTATTTGTTTGTTTGTTTATTTATTTATTTATTTTGGGGCTAGGCAATGGGGTTAAGTGACTTGCCCAGGGTCACACTGCTAGTAAGTGTCAAATATCTGAGGCCAGATTTGAACTCAGGTCCTCCTGATTCCAGGGCCAGTGCTCTAGAATAACTCTTATTAAATGGACACAAATTACATTTGTCTCAAATTACAAAATGTCTCCCTGTAGTCTTCTCTTCATGTAGAGCACATCTCCATTCCTTTAATCACTCCTCATTTGTTGCGGTTTCTAGAGCCTTCAAAATCCCACACACTCCAATCTGTCAAAATCTCTTTTAAAATGTGGCACTCCAAATTGAGCTCAATATTCTGGAGGTGGTCTGCCCAGCACAGTACATGATGGGATTCTCATCTCCCTCGACCTAGTCTTCACACTGCCATTAATATTACCTATGATTCTATTAGATGTTTTAGCCACCAGTGTGCACTGTTGACTCCTGTTGAACATATGGTCAACTAAAATCTCCCCAATTTTCACATGAATTTTTGTCAAGTCACTATCCCCTATCCTACACTTATGCAACTGATTTTCTGAACCAAAATATAAGATTTTACATTTGGAATCACAATATGAGAATTTTAGAATTGGCAGGAACATTGGAGAACGTCGAATCCATTTTATAAACAATGCCCCTGAGATAGAGAGAGATTAAATGATTAGCTCAGGATCATACAACTAGGCTATATCAGGGGAAGGATTTGAATTTGGGTATTCCTGATTCCAAGTACATCATGCTATCCACTGTACTGCTGAACTGAAATTTATACTCATTAAATGTCATCTTGGTATTTTAAGGCTATCATTCCAGCTCACTAAGGTCTTTAAAAAATTGTTTTCTATCAAATTATAATTATCCCTCCAAACTCCACTTCATCTGCAAATCTGATAGATGTGTTATTCAAGTCTTTGACAGGAATGGATGATGGGAAAGATGAATAAGCCAGGGCCTAGGAAAGAGTCCTAGACATCTTAATAGAGACTGCTCTTACAGGGTGACAGTGGTCCAATTAATTAATATTCTCGGTACAGCTGTTCAACCAGCTTCAAATGTACCTAACTGTACTATTATCACTCAACTTATATTTTATCAATTTGTGTTCACAAGAATATCATGATGCTTTATCAAATACCTTACTAAAAATCAAGACTCATTTGACATTTCCTTGACTAAGAATCTAGTAACCGGGGGCAGCTAGGTGGTGCAGTGGATAGAGCACTAGACCTGAAGTCAGGAGGACCTGAGTTCAAATCTGGCCTCAGACTAAACACTTGACACTTACTAGCTGTGTGACCCTAGGCAAGTCACTTAACCCCAATTGCCTAAGGGAAAAAAAAAAGAATCTAGTAACCCTGTCAGAAATGAAAATGAGGTCGGTTCATCATCAGTGAACCACACAACCCCCTTTACAATCCTTTGTACTACAATCCTGCCAAGAATCAATATCATGGTCTGACATTTCCAATCACCTTTTTCTTCTTTTTTTGAGCTACAGAGCAAGAAATTCTCCATATTCCCAGTTATTGTTGTTGCTGTTCAGTCATTTTTTAGTTATGCCCAACTCTTCATGACCCTATTTGAGGTTTTCTTGGCAAAGACACTGGGGTAGCTTGTCATTTCCTTATCCAGCACATTTTATGGATGAGGCAAACAGGGTTAAGTCACTTGCCCAGAGTCACAGTACTAATAAGAATCTGAGGCTAGATTTGAACTCAGGAAGATGAGTTCCTGGTTCTACACCCAGTTCCACTGTTCCACCTAGCAATTCCTAGATTCCCAGTACACAATCTGCCATGGATTAAATTGTTTCCCGTTGCCTGAGAGGCCAATTTGGTCTCTCCTTTCCAGCTGAATCTGCAGGTGTCTTGAGGAGGGACAGCTGGAGATCACAACATGCTGAAGGGAGATTCATACCTAAGAGGAACTCTGTCTCACAAAGAGAAATAATTCTGATGAAAAAAGTGAAAGTTTTCCCCGCAGAGGCTGCTGCAGGTGCAGAGCAAACTCACCAGCCAAGTTAGATGTTAAAGGCTAACATTAGAAAATGGAAGCAAGTTTATTCTATTCTATTCTTTTTTTAAAGCTGCGGAAAATGACAATCATCAAAGAACAGGTTCTGTGGCTTGGGAGGTGGGAATGGGGAAGGGAATGATGATATTGACAACAGATATAAGGTGGAGTGGCTGCATTCTTTACTTTACTTCAGTTTTCTCCACCAATAATAAATTGTAAACTTTAGAATGGGAAAAGATGGAACAAAAAAGGGCTTCAGCCAATGCTGGAGGTGAGTAGACTGCCAGGAAATACTGTTGCACCTGCTGAGCCCAGGAGAAGAAGCAGATGCTTCTGCTGAACCACTCACTGTCAGAGAATCCCAAAAGATCATGGAGAAAAGGAGAGAATTTCCTGAGTAAGGTTTACTGCTTTCTCTTCTCCTGGCAATTCTGTCCTCTAGAGGCTTTTATTTCATTTGTTATCTCTTGCTTCATTTCTTTTAGGTATTCATAAAGTATTGGTGGAAAATCTATTTTTTTTCTTTGAGTTTACACTTTGTACTACAAACAAATGAAGTACAATTAAGTTAGAAATAGGAACAGTTTTAAAACACAGCTAGAATTTTGAAATCTTAAAAGCATAGGATTAGATGAAATCTTCAGAGGTCTTCAACATCTCTTATAGTGAAGCCACGTTATTCAACTTAATTTTTTCAACTAACATTTATTATGTGCCTACTTTGTGCCTGGCATAGTGCTAGGCACTGGGGATACAATGACAGAAAAAGAAATTGTCACTGCCCTCTAGAAGCTTACATTCTACTGGGGAGGGAGACTATATATACATATATATATATGTATACATACATACACACACACACACACGTCAGGAATCACACAGTAATTTGTTGTTGTTGTTTTTTCCTTCATTCTCCAAGAGGACCATGACATCAGGGAGGTGATGCCATAGCATGCAAGTAATTGGATTTAAGTGAGGGAGGCCTGGGCAAAGTCACCAGCCTCACTTTCTCCTCCAGAGCCATCTGGTTTTTGAGAAAGCTATGAACATTAACAACTGTGGGGCTCAAGAACGTTCTCCTGCTACGCCTTCAATGAGACTGAGATGAAGAAGGGGGAGGCTCTCTGCTTGGGGACAGACTCTGCAATGGCACAAACAGGGGAGCACGGCAAGTCGAGTGCACATGACAAGTAGTCGGCTAGGAAATACCCAAAAGGGAACGACATGCTGCTGCAGAATGTCTGGGGAGCCGGATTGTGGAGGGAGGAGGACAGGAGGAGGAGTTTCTAGTTTATTCTCAAGGCAATAGAGATCCTCTTAAGGTTTTGAGTGGGGAAGGTTGAGATGGTCAGACCCATGCCTGAAACAGATTATTCTGGCAATTCTATGTCAGTAGTCTAAGTGAGAGGGGGTGTCTGTGAATGGAAAGAAATGTGAAAGTACAAGAGATGTGGAGGCGGAATCAACAAAAGTTAGCAAATGATCAGATATTGGGAGGGCGGGGTGAAGAGAAGGGAAAGTCAGGAAGAAGACTAGGATTGTAAACCTGGCTGAGTGGAAGGGTGACAGAAAGAAGGAAGTTTGAAGAATGAAATATAGGAGTTTGGGGAGAAATATGGGATCCATTTGTGATATGTTGAGACTGAGATACAATCAGACATGTAGGTGGAAAGAAGTCCAGCGGGCAGCTGGCAATACAGGACTGGAGTCCAGGAGAGCAACTTGGGCTAGATACGTACATTCGGGAGTCTCTAACATAAACATGATCAATGAATCTATTGGAACTGATTGTCTCACCAAGAGAGACTATCTCTAGAGAAGGTACAAGAAAGAGATTCAGGAAACATAAACTAACTAGGCTGGAAAGATTGTGCCAACAAAGTAGACTGAGGTGGAGTGGTCAGACAGACAGAAGGAAAACCAAGGCAGAACAGTATCATAGAAGCCAAGGGAGGAAAGAATATCCAAGGAGAAGAGACTGGAAATTGCAACAATGGCAAAGAAACCAAGTAGAATAAAGACTGAGAAAAGGCCATTGGATTCAGCAGTTCAGAGACATTTGGTCAATTTAAGAATTTTCATTCAAGAGGCAACCAGTTTGAAAGGGTGAAATTGGAAGCAGTGATTGTAGACAACATCTTCTAGGAGTGTGGCTGTGAAAAAAGAGAACAGATAGAGAGGAGTACAGCAGGAGGGAATGGAAAGGCTAAGTGGATTTTTTTTCTCTCATAGGATATGGAAGACCTGGACAGGTTGCTAAGTAGCAAGGAAGGAGCCAATCGATGAGGAGAGATTGAAGATGAAGAAAAGAGGGAATGACTGAGAGGGAAAGAAAACAGAGACATGAGGGAGGGTATGTGAAGAGTACAAGTACAGGACCTGGCCTTTGCAAGGGTAAGGGCCTTTTGGTTGAAAAACCTTAAGATCTATTTAAATGCTGTTTCAATAATTATGCTCATGAATAAGTTGACAATTTTATTTAATAAAAAATCATTTATTTTTTTCAAAACCCCATTAAATGGGAAAGCATGCCAACCGCCTTTATAGGAAGTCTGGCTATTCAGACCAGAAGGTTATGACTCTAGTACTGTCTAAGAGAAAATAAACAGACTCCTGAGTGTGGACATTAAAGTGACACCAAACATCATTACAGAAGAAAGTCAAATTTCAGTTTAGCGATCAAGGTTCTTTACAAATCTGCCTACAACCTGTCTAGCCCTAATATTCTGCTAAAAGTACTTGCTATTCCAGACAAACTCGATTATTTATTGGTTCCCCAAATACACTCTATGTTTTCCTTTGTGTGTGCTGTTCTCTATACGGATGTCTCCACTGGTTGGGCTCAAATGATTCCTATTCCTTCCCTGGTTCCTCCCCCTTCCCAATCAACCATATGTAATCGACTGAAAGGGATCGACTGATCTCCCTATCTTCCTCTCTCTCTCTCTCTGTCTCTTTTTATCTGTCTCTGTCTCTTTTTATCTGTCTCTGT